CGTTGAAACGCGACGACGTGATGGGGTTTTAGCAAGACAACGCAAAACGTGACAGACAACGGATACATCTGAATTCAAGCTCGTCATGCGAAGGTTTCGCTTCGAGCAGGAATAAAACAATAGGGGAGACGCGAAAGGAGACAATGAAGAAAGAGAAAGAGAGAGAGGAAATAGTCTCTATATCTCTCCCTTTACGGTAGTAAAGCATATTTACTCATCTAGCCGGTAACCAAAGCTTTGGAAAACAACGAAAAGATAAATAAGAGAAAATAAATGGAGATAGAAAGACAGCAGCTGAGAGAACCTGGTGGCTTTAACGACAGGTCAAGTTACCAAGGGTTCGACCTTTTCCTATCGAACCTTACCATCTAGCAGACGATTAAGCAGCACCGAATTAATCGTCTCTATGTCTAAATCCTTTCGCTAAACATTTCACATATCCGTATGCACCCACATAGAATATTTTATGCGACCTATGTACTTGGACAGATATTTCAAAATCGCAACGCCACGAATACTTTAGCTTATACTGCAAAAAAGAGAGAGAGAGAGAGAGAGAAAGCGGGCTGTGCGGTTACTTTTTGCGAAAAAACAAGTATTCCTATATCTCAAAACTTTGGTAATAGTCCCACCCCTTCTCTCCAGGTCCTTTACATCTGCGTGCACACGGCCATGTAAGCGAGCACGTGTATTCGTTCGTCGTCCTCATTCGCGGCTTCACATATGAAAGGCTAAAAATGCATACTCCAAACGGTCCTATCCGGTATTGTTTGAACTTTCGAACGAAACCGTTATAATTCAGAAGCCCTCGGAACGAACGGCGAATCATTACTAAAAGCACTGCTTTCCTTCCCATCCTAGCAATCTACGGATACAACCAACGAAACGCGCAATCGATTCGGGAACCTATTATGCTTACATTTTTATTCCGAATAATAGTCCAGATTGCCGCTGTATACTAGGTGAACAGGAAGAATGCTCATAACAGAATCTTCTTCGTAACTCTATTTGTGTGTGAAGGAAATATTGGAGCGTTTAGTTTCACCTAGCACACCCCCTATGCAGACTTTACGTGGAAAACGAATGGAAAAGCGTCATCGCATTATCGACAATCGTTGCAGACCACTTTCGCGAAAAATATCTCGCGCGCGGTCGATATTGCGAGATGATCGCATTTTAATTGAAAAATCGCCACGAGAAATGAGACTTTAACGTTGTGCGATTCGTTCCACCGCTATTAAATATCACTCGGTTTTCATTGTTTTTAAGGGTGAGAGAGAGAGAGAGAGAGAGAGAGAAAGAGAGAGAAAGAGCTTTAACGAGTCGATCTCATGTCAGGGAGAAAAGAATAGTAAAGTAATACTTGTGCGCGAGTACGATTTTTACAAAATTACAAAAAAATAAAAAATAAACGTTTGGCGAAATTTAAGCGACAAAAAATTCATTTAGAAGAATTACTTTTGGCAATTAATCGAAGCGCATGTAACTTTTATTAGTAAAACCGAATTGTCTGATGAGGCCTCAAAGTTGTGGTCGGCTGGCAAATATATCAGTATGACGAACGACGAGAGAGAGAGAGAGGAAGAGGAAGAGGAGAGAAAGAGAGTCCCAAGAGGACATCCTGTAATTTGACATTAGCCGTCTTCCGTCAGCGTCGCTAGCTTAATTACATTCCACGATGATGCTCCTCGCTTATTGTATCCTTGAACGAAGTTATGCCTCTGACGACGAAAGAGCCGAACGTACCTAGCTAGCGTAGACTTGGATGGGAAAATTGAAACGGTCTCTGGTGACGATCGTCGTTCACCTAACTAAATTCGATAAATTACAATTTACTCATTTTTCTCAGACGCCGCGACGAAAAAAAAGATATCGTAAAAAGAATCAAAGAAAGGAATTTTTTTTCAAATCTTCCGACTAGATATTAGATGGATCGAGCGTCGATCTAATTTTAGAGCCCACCTAACGATGGACCCAACCCTGAAGGGAGACAAGGGAGATCTTTCTCTCTCTTGCACGCGATGAAAAGGTAAAACAGGTTTCAGCAGAACGTACAAGTATGGGAGCATAGAAAAAGCTGCTCAATGAAGCTTGCGAGGACGGAAAATCGAAGCGATCGACGTCAACCAAGAGCTTTGATCGCTCGGCCGAGCCTTCTTTCTCGAGCTAGAAAGAGATACGAATAGACACGTGACCGAGTCTAATTCCGATTACGAGAGAAAGATAGAAATAAAGGGATAGTCCGTGTACAAGCACGAAAACGCAAATATCCAAGTATATACGTGATTATCCGGGGGTCTTGCCAATGCGAAATTCATCGATACCAATTACCGCGTTCCACGAATAATTTCGAATGAATATCGAAACAAAATTCTTCTTTCCCTTCGTTCTCTCTACCCCCACGCCCACTCCTTTCTCTTTTTTCGCATCAGAAATTCGAGGATAGACACGATAAATAGCCTTCGATGACGTCGTAGGATCCTCTTTTTTTTTTTTTTCGCTTTCATCAGATCACGATGGTGTCGCACTTGAGCGACGTTACATTACACGGTTTCTAAACGTGTAGATAGAAAAATATATATACAAGACGATCTAATAATTATCGGAAACCTAAGAATATCTATTCGATCGATCATAAAGTTAGTTAGTTAATATACGGACTTTAATTTCAACCATTAAATCATATTACAATATAAAAACATATTTCTTTCTCACGTGAAGCTTCCAAGATTATAATGGTTTATCCAGCGAAGATATTAGAAATATTTAGAAGAACGTCGGATATGTATAATGATCGTTTGTAGACTAACCACAGGATCGTTTTACCATAAATTACATGACCGCCACGAATGCCGGCATAGTTTGCGAGAGAATCTATGAACGGTTCTCGACTGGAAACGAATGTACCTTCGCAAGTATTTGCATTAAGATAACGAACTTTAAACTAATGAGCTCGCCTAATATCATGACAAAGTATTAGCGAAAAAAAAAAATAGCGGTGGTTCATTCTGCTTTAAAAGCTATAAATAAAAAAGAAAGAAAAAAGAAACCTGTTGCAATGAAATACTTTGGACAACATTGTCCAATCGTTATAATGGATATATTTTCTTCCTCGTTCTTTTTCTAATTAAAATGAAAATTGTCAAGAATTATTTTTCACTCGATACAGGCGAATAACAAGTACTCGCAAAACTATTTAAATGAACGTTAAGACTCGTTCCCTCTCGATTCGACTTACAAAATCTCTACGTTTCAACGGTCATCGCACGTTTTCCTCCTCACGCGCGAATCACGTCCTGCATACCTAAATGTGCAATTAGCTCCGCGTGTAATTTTACTTCGGGCATGGTATCCCGTTCCGCATAAACACCAACGGTCGATAAAAAAAGAATAGAATGAAGGGAAAGAGATGGAGAGAAAGGACACGTAATTAAACATGAATGACACTTTTGTACATCCTACTACGAGTGTGTAATCATAAAAAGATAGAGCGAGAGAGTGAGACAAGATCAAATCTCAAAAGTTCTGAAAAATCTTACCGATTCGTAAGGAAGCAATGAACCTGGATAAAGATGGAGAAGAGAGGGAAATATAGAAAGAGACGAAGAATATAAACCGTCCTTCCTAACAGACTTTCAGAATGTTTAATAAGCGACATCAGCGTGTCTGTGGTTTTCACAAAAGCGAAAATGTAAATTCAGCGTTTTCGCTGGCATAAAAGGCTTGCAGGAGTCTTCGGAGGGTGGAGAATGTTCCTTCTTGTATAAGCGGCATTAAAATTGCAAACTGTGCAATGGACTATCTCCCTATTCATTCTCTTTTCCCCTTCCTCTCTCTCTTTTTCTCTTTCTATATATGTATATATATATATATATATCTCGTCGATCTTCTTTATCAGCAATCAGACTTGTCTTCGGATGTCTTCGAGTATTGACACGCAAATAACAAAATCGAAGGACGACACAAAACGATAGCAATAAATGCTGCTTATCTTCGAGTTATAAATCGTAAGACTTTGATAAATATATCGTCCACGCAATTCCTGTTATATGGGTTACTTTCTAGTTAATCCTCCTATGTAACTTTGCGTTTATACTCTGGATATAACTGATAATCAGAATTAGATATATTATATTCTAATTTAAAGATTCCTCTTATTCTCTGCAAGGTTAAACAACCAAAGTGTTTACTATCTTCGCACGCTGCTAAGGTACTTCGTAACGTGTTTATATCTATTACAAAAACGTACTTGGATTTCTGTCGATTAATAAATAAAAAGTCGATATTTTATTTTAGCCCACGGATGCAACCAAATATTTTACCCCCAATACTTTACACACAAAAAGATATCTATGCAACGTACGAAACATAGCTTTGTGAAGCTTTTCTTAAAACGATAAGAACGAGTACGTAGGATTATTTCAAATTAAACGATTATCATTAAGAGATGTTCGCCCAGCGACCATGATGGAACATTGCAAGAAAAAACAATAACAGTAGTATTAGTAATGCAGTAATAGATCTAGTCCCTCTTACCTCCTTTAGATTATTTGTTAATGAAACAAACTTTGTTCCGGGCGTCGATGAATCTTCCAAAAGAAGTCCGCCAATATTGAATTATAAAGGAAAAACTTGCACAGAACTCAACGTAACTACATGAAATTAGACAGCTAGTGCCATGATTGTTTTCGCGCGTTCCAAACGATCCTACCAATCAACGCGACTGTTTCGAATGCCATCTATCGATAGGAAAAAGAGGCGTTTACTTCGATGAACGACCAATCGATATTAAGCACGAGATATTCAAATCTGCCACGAATATTGTTCATACTATATTTAATTAAAATGAAAGATAAAGAAAATGTAATAAATATCAAATTATCGAGTTACATAGCGTTCCGTATTATCAACCAATCGTGAGAATTAAACACGAAAAGTATAAGTATCTTTCTGGATCTAAATCTTTCCTACCGTCGGTGAAGTACCGATTGAATTCCAAATAAATCCGTAAAATATAAGGGTGATTAAGTTGTTCCCGATGCGACGGCGTATCTTGACAATTGGCTGTCACTTGACGGTGCGTGCTGTTGCACCGAATATCAAATTCGATATATAAAAGATAAGGAGATACTGGGACGTTCTGTTTAAGCTCTTGCATGCTTCGTGCTCGCCTAAAGCTTGCTTGTAAGCTTTCGTAACTGATACGGTGTCTCACATAGTGTGGCTTCCTTTCGTTCGATTGTTACTTACTCCACAGACTTATGAACTATTCGCGGAAGGTGTCATTTGCGATCGGGGTTGATGTGTGCCCTAAAACAGGAAGTACTAGGCGACAAATATTATAACAATGTTAGATTGTTAAATTGATATATACACGAAATTAGAGTAGCACGATAAAGACGTGACAGTGGAGTCAAGTTATGGAGGGAGTCGATGGGCAACTGCAAACAAAATATCAAAAGATAGCCACGGAATATTCGAAAGTAAGTTAATCCAATGTAACTATGTAAATCTACAGTTGAATAGAAATCTTATCTCTTACCATCTGCTACTCCTTTAATTTATACAGCCATATTTCTTTGATGGATAACTATCTAAACCTGTGGAATATATACTTTATTCACAGATTCGTGCTCAGGCGAACGTTCTAAGAAAGGCTGTGATAGATGAACAAGCACGTAATGCGGAGATACGCGAACAATTAAAAGAGAAAGAAGTAGAATTTCGTAGAGCGGAACAAGAAATAGATAGTCTGACTTTCCGCAATCAACAGTTGACCAAACGAATAACTGTATTGCAGGATGAACTTGATAAAGCACAAAATAAATCTAGGAAAGGGAAAGGCAAACTATCGGATAATAATACTCAAGTACCTGCCTCATCGAATCATATCTTAGACGAAGAATTTCAAAAAAAGATAGTTGAAAATGCTCAATTGCTTTCGCAAATAGCGGATAAGGATAGTGAAATTGAAAGTTTAAGCGAAAGAATACAAGAATTGGAATATAAGTTAGAACATGCTGAAAAATCTAAAGTAGTATTAGATTGTCAGCATCGCAGAGAAATTGATAAGTTGGACAGGGAGAGAAATGATTTACAGAGAAAACTTAACGAAAAGCAAAGACAAGAAGAAACTATATCTTGGTCTAGTACTGAAGGCAAGAAGGAAGGATACGATGGTGAACAAAGAGCAGGATTTTCTAATCATTATCAAATAGATTCTTCTCCGATTTCATCGCCATCTCCATCGCGTAGATCCTCTAAATCTTTTAATGATGGTAAAATTCAAAAATTAACAGACGAAAAAAATGATTATGAATCTTCCAAATCTTATGACATAGAAAAAGAACTGCATTATTGGAAAACGCAATACCACATGATTAAAATAAAATACGATGAATACGAACATAAAGACCAAGAAGCAAATATATCAGTCGCCAAGGAATCTCTCAATCCTGTAAAAATAAATAATATGGTAGTTTTTTTTTTTTCTTCCGAGATTCCCTTCCTATCGTTTAATGTTTCTTGCGTCGTTTTGCAGATTGGAAGATTACAGGCACCATTTGCATTACCCGAGGAAATAGAAGCTCGCGAAGCAAAAATAAGAGAATACTTTCTTGATGAGATAAATAAATTAGTAATGGAAAAACACATTTGTCATGTTAAAAATTTGGCCATGGCTGCTAACGTAATTACTGAGACGTTTATATTCTTCTTAATATTTGAATTTCCTAATTGAGCCAGTCAATTTTTTATTACAAAATGATATCTAATATTTTAGAAAGAAGTGATGCATGTACATTTGGAAACATGTGAATCGAAAAGAGAAAAATGTGAGTTAGCACTTTCGGAAGCTCTATCCAATTGCAATAGCTTGCAAAAAGATAAAGAGACACAAGAAGGAAACTATAAAGCACAACTCAGTACTATGAGCGAACATCTTGCTAATATGAATGATAAACTTATTTGTCAGACAGAAGAAATTCAACAATTAAAGTTTGAATTAGCAAACAAGGTACAAGACATTTAATGCTTTGTTCAATTATATTCTAAGATATCAATTAATGTCTCTTAACTATTATGTTATAGAATAATAGGAAAGGAAAACAAAAATGATTTACATTCAGTTACTGACAATTGATCAGAGACATTCCATTGACAACATTAGTATAATCATATTCATTGATCGATTTAAAGTTATGTATATAAGGAATTCATACCAAACGAACAATATATTATCTGTCCTCATACTCTGATTTTTAGCAAGAAGAAACATGCTAAAATGCTCTCTGATTCTGTTACGTTATGTTATTTATGAAATCAAAATAAAATATTACAATTGAATGTGTTTTTTGAAAATATTATGAATGAAGTATTAGAGATAGGAAATATATATTATGAAAGGTAATATAACGGTGTAACAATAATGTGGTTCACGCATTGTAAATCTAATCTTATCTGGCATTGCTATTCGAAACACTTAACTTACAACATTTCATAATGCTTATATTTACAATTTGTTTGTACATAAGTTTCTTATTTTGTGAATACCGATATATATATATATATATATATATAATATTCAATCGAAAGAAAAAAAGGCCAATCCTAAAGTAGCAGAAATTTATAAATATTATATATCTAAAGTAGTTCCCTATAAACGTACAGTTAAAAAATTGGTAGTAAGGAAATTAATTGATTTTGATAGAAAAACTAGCACCGCAACTACATCCCTGTTCTGCCAAAGGATTATTAATGATCCTAAATGCAGAACGTATTAACTCTGTATGATATTCTATAGTAGCCCCTTTGATATATTCTAAAGACGTTGAATCTATAATCACTTTAGCACCATCCTTCTGAAATATTCTGCAACAGAAATGCATCTATACATTTGCATCTATACATTTATACATTTTTCACACATATCAAACACTACACTGCATTCTTAAGTCCTACTTGTCGTCTTCATTTATGCTTGAATCCAAATCAAATTTATACTGAAATCCAGAACAGCCTCCACCTTCTACGGTAACCCTCAAACATGCACTTTCTTTCGCTATTTCTTTGAGACGTTTCGCACAGCTATCGCTAATAATCAATGCAGTATCGGTGTCAACAGCAGAATTCGTAGAGATTCCATTAAGTGACGAAGCCGTGTGGACATTGCACCATGGTACACTGTGGATTTTTAAGACATTTTATCACTACAAGAGATTAAACAATAAATCTTTACTACCGAAAAAATCATTTGTTTTATGAACAAGATTTCCTTTTATTTCAATCATAAACAAATATAAAACTTTTCAACGATAAAAATCTAAGTATGAATAACAGGAAAATATGCATAAAGAATTACTTACGTTAACAAACGAGAGAAGTAACGATTAGATGCAAAATTGGATGAAAGACCCCAAGCCATACGTCTCAATTTCGCCATTTTCTAACCTAAACGTGATTCTATCGACTTTGCGTGACGGAAAAAAGACAGTAAATATGCAATTGCAAGTTGTGCAACAATAACGTTCACGTCGGGACTACTTTCATTGACTACGAAAACCAACATGGCTACCTTCACTACGTCCAAATTTGCGGGAATTTTCAAATCGTGTATTTTATTACAGATTTATTAAATCTATTATAGGTATATCTTTAGAGTCGAACAATACAAACTCATTTGATACATGGTGAATTCATAATATAATTGGCATGAAAATTGGAAAATAATCGAATTAATTGTTTAGTATTTACTCAATTTATACTTAACAAATGTAAGAAATAATTAGATATCACTGTACAATATTATTAATGATAGGCATGACATATTCATGTATTTTTAATACAATCCGATTATTTAAAAAATTATTTTATATTTTCAAATGTATTTTACACAACATACATGTCCAATATGATCCGGATTAAAAAAAATATTTATATATATATTTTTTACTCTATCAATTTTTTTGCTCTGAAAAAACGTCTTAAATAAAAGACCTGCAAAGTAGAGAGTCCTAAAAGACAACATATAGAGAATATACTGAAATACAACACGCGTGCATTGGTTGCCTCTGAAAGAAAATAAAATAAATGTTTTAACATTCCAATCACATTACCGTTTTGATCTTGATAAATAATCTAAATGTGCTAATACCATTAGTATCTCTCATTTCTTCTTCATTCTTTCGCATTCTTGCAAAATCTTGTACTATGACATCAGATAAATCTTCCAAACGTTTCAATTCTACTTCCACGGGTTTCAATTTAGCTGCTTCTGCAATCTAGATTAATAATTCATATATGTAGATAAACTCGTTCATTACCAAATTGGAACAGATGATTTCACATGAATTCAATTTCAATGCATTAATAACTTACACCTTCATAACTTTTTGTTTCAATGCCACGTTTTGTAAGAAGCATTATTTCTTGTTTCACGCCACGTTGATCTGGAAAAGTTAATATTACAACTTAACATAATTCTGAACGATAAGTTATCATCTTAAAAGAGATTTTAGAATACCTCGTGATCATAGTAATGCATATCGTACATATTATATTATAGAAAATATTAACTTACGACTTGATACGTGTGAAATAAAACAGACTTCAAAGGTATCAGCAGTTTCAGTAATAAATGAAAACTTTAATAGCTTATTATGCGGAATATCTTCTTTTTGAGAAAGTATGTGTCCTTTGGTATCTCTGATCTATAATACAAATGAATAGACAAATCATTTCCAGACATATAAAAGTGACAGCGAGACAGACAGTAATACTAGCATCAAGTAAATAATTATGACATATTGCAGGATAAAAGTCTCAAAAGTTTTTAGGTAAAGAAAGACAACAAGTACCACGTAATCAACTTTTTGACCGAATTCTTCGGAAACAAAGTATTCTCCCGTAACTAATACATTTGCTTGAACATCTTCTTTTAAACACTTGTGAGTATTTGGCTCCAAGTACCAATTGATACAGTTGACATTCGTTATAATTGACATTAAAAGAATTATTCCAATGTTTAGAATTTCCATTGTACTTTACTTTTATATATAACAATACAAGTTAATAAATTTATGAAATACTTGAAAATAAACGTTATGTCCCTAAAAATATTCTGAGATGTATTATTCCTCAGTCAACCTCCTGATGAGTTGGCAGCCATTAGATATTATGTAGAATTAGTATCAGTTTGCATGCCTACGTGGCGTTACGATCAAGAAGAAAGTTTCTTGGTAAAAAATGCCATTATGCAAGATATTATATTACAGCTTTTTTGCTAAATCGTCTATTTAATGTATTATCTAATATTACAAGGTTTTTACATAATATTACATTAAAAAAATAGATTGAAAAGATTTTTATTTTTAATATATAAGACATTTTCGACCACATTGGAAGTACTGTTCTATTTTGATGGAACATTTATTGGCTTAAATTTCAATAGAATTTTAAGTCACAATAGAAAATATTTAATGCAAATAATAAGTATTTCATTTAATAATATCACGATATTATACTTTTCCAAGACTCGAGCAGTAATTGGTCATTGAACTTTCGAGCTCATACCAACATTAAAAAATGATCTGTAAATATAACCGATACCAACAATCAAACATTCGGAGCAGATTGTTCTTAAGGAGCTGAAAATTAGAGAAAGCTTGTTTTCTTGTCGGTTTTCAAAAGTTTGGAGTTTAATACATTAAATGGCCAGCGGAGATGGATCGATTCAAACTCAAGAAAATGATGTAAGAATTATTTAATTAATATTATTGTGCTGTTAATGACAAATGTGTTTTAGTTATTTGTGTATTTAAAAATCATATATAGCTAGTAGCGTTTTTTGTTATAGATGCCAATCCCGAAGATCAAACATGATTGGTATCAAACAGAAACACATATTATCATCACAATACTTGCCAAAAATACAGAAAGTGTAAAAATTGTTTATGAAAAGACTACGGTACGTAAAAGTGCTATTTATTGTATTATGGTTGTAAAATTCAATGTTCTATGCGTAGACCTTTTAAAGCACGTTTTAATAATTATTAGCTAAGTGTTTCTGCGAAGCTACCTTCTGGTAGCGATTATAGCTTGGAATTGGACTTGGCTCATCCAATAGTACCAGATCAATGTTCATACAAAATATTACCATCTAAAATAGAAATCAAATTGAAGAAGCAAGATGGCTTAAGGTGGACCATTTTAGATGGAACTCCAGTGAAAAATGTGGTTGAACCAATACCTCAAGGTAAATTATTTATTCCTTACCATTGGGTATTTGAGTATTTTTTGGCCACCTAAGTCATTCAATAATGCTTTCGAAGAAATACTTCAAAGTGGTAATCAACCACCAAAGTATCCGAGTTCTTCTAAAAAATCTAAAGATTGGAACAAGGTAGAAAAAGAAATAGAAAAACAAGAAGCAGAAGAAAAACCAGAAGGAGAAGCTGCTGTTAATGCCCTTTTCCAACAGATATATGGCAGTGGTTCTGACGAAGTTAGACGTGCTATGAATAAATCTTTTGTAAGTAGCATGTGTGACGAATAACAAATACTGCATGAAATATGATTCAAATGTTATTGACATGTGAATTTAAAAATACGAAGATAGCGATGGTGACTGATTTTTTTCTTTGAATAAAACAGCTAGAATCAGGTGGTACCGTTTTAAGTACAAACTGGTCAGTGGTAGGTAAGGGGAAGGTTGAAAGAAAACCACCAGATGGGATGGAATGGAAATCATGGAACCAATAAAAAGTTTGCTTACGTAAATAGAGAAACGCATAAGTGATTGATACAATTTTTTTTTGAAGTTTTATATACAAGACATATTTTTACTTGAGAGACTTATTAGAACAATTTGAAATATACCTAAACAAATTTCTGTATTGTGGCATAAGTTTTGTAACTTATTCCAATCTGTATTCTATCTGTTTTTTTTTTTTTTAATTTAATTTAATCATTCAATCATGTAATTTAATCAAAGAAAATTAAATTTATACATAGTTAAAACTTTATATCGTTATAATACACTTCTGTTTATTAATGTTAAGATACATTAATATAAAAATATAAAAATAAGAGAAACTTATAAAAGGACTCAAATAAATTCGTTTCTTGAATTAGTATTTCAACTAATACGAAATTCATATATATAAAGTTCTGAAAATGTTGATTGCTTGTAATTTTTGTATTTTTTTTTTCTTTTCTGTTATTTTTTGTGAACCTGGATTCATGAAACGTATTACTCTTCTAAATTAAATATTTAATAAAATAAACAAAAATAGATAAAAACTTATTTTAGTATCGCAATATATTTAGATATGCGGAAAAAATAATATAGAATGAAATGTTTCACCGAAAGTTTAGCTTTTTTAGGAACCAAATAAAGTTCTTATGCTCCAAATAGCAGTAATTACATAACAACTCCATGTCGCATAAGTTTTCCATGTGTCTTGTGATTGCTTTTCTACTTGGTTTGGAGATTTATTACTAGAAATTTTTTCATCGAAATATTCTTTTAAAGAATCAATATTTTTCTTAAAGTTAGATTCATAAGATTCATTATTGTTTTGCATAAAAGATACAACTGTCTTTATGTCCTCTGACCTTTTATTTTGATATATCAATGAACATATAATTGATAATATTGCGGAAGTTATAGTTGCCAAGATAGTTACATATTTGTGTTTATGAGAATTCATTGTTTGCGCATCGTGATATTCTTTAATAGCGGTTGTTAAATGTAAAAAATTATCTTTTTCTTCTTCTTCTAATAAAATTAATTTGTCGGTAATTATACTTTGTTCTCGAAGACTGTTGTTTTCTTCCATCGTCAATTTGACGTATTTGGGATCTTCTCTTTTTGTGCTTAACATCTCGCTATATATTTCTTTTATTTTTTGATTTATTATAAATGCCTCTTGACGAGTACAACGTCTCTTTTCTTGACATTTGATTAGAAGATTTTGTAATGAAATGACTTGTTGTCTAGCTTCCTCTACGGAATGTAGACCCGTTAATTGTTGATACCATTGCCACCAAGTAACGAGTTTGTGTGGCATTGGTTTTTCTGATTTCAGTGGTACCGCTTGAAATTCCTGTACAATGTTTAAATTTTGGATATGCTGAAATCGGGAACATATAATCAATATCATATAATTTTATATTAAATATTTGAGTTTTATATACTTACATTCATAAGTTGATCTTTTGTATTAACCACTGCGTTTTCAAGCTTAGCACTTACATTGTTGAAAGTCTTACGTCCATAAAGATATTTATTTACGAAGTTTATAAAGTTTTGAACATTACTTTTCATGTTGATTAAAAGACCTATTACCGATGATGATGTTTTGGATACTTTGGTGATACCAACTTTGCGGTAAAACAAAGACCCTTATACTCAGTATTACCACTATGAACATTTGCTTTAAATTAGCACAAATTGTTAGAAATCTCCTTGGCAAGAAAAAGTTTATTGTGGAAAATTAGGGAGATAATGAGTACACATTCAAATATTTCGAAATATCTTTTCTTTCATTTAATACTTTCCACTTACTGGGGTAAGGGAACATCATTGTATTTGCATTTCGCTGCGCCATCTGTTTATGTAGCTAAAGTGAACAAATAAATATTATGAAATACTTGTTTTATAGGTATTTTGATGACCGATAATGTTTGATAAATGTAAGAAAATATGATAAATTAAAAAAAATATCAAGTTACATTATTGTCAGCTAAATTGCGCAATGTGTCGACGTAGTTAGGCAATTTGATCGATTTAAATTTTCGATATATCGATAGTTGAATCGTTATGCTATCGAAAAGTTAATTGTACATTTGTGTTAGTAATGGTTAACTTATCACCATCAATGCTGATAAACACTGATAAAATATTAAGAAGTATTAATTAATATTTGTTTAAAATGGCAACCGGAGACGATAGACGCGTGGCACTAATTACGGGTATTACTGGACAAGTAAGTTTGCATTTGGTACAACAAATGTTTATCTGTCATTTTTTATCTATTATTATAGATTAATCTAGAAATTTTAGACAAGACAATTCTATTTCATTTAATTACCAATGTGTAATTCTTGTCATTTTAGGATGGTTCTTATTTGGCTGAATTTTTATTAGAAAAGGGATACGATGTGCATGGTATTATTAGGAGAGCAAGTTCCTTTAATACTGCTCGTATTCAGCATTTATACGAGGATCCTAAATGCCATCGTCAGGGTAAAATGAAATTACATTATGGAGATATGACAGATTCGAGTAGTTTGGTCAAAGTAATCAGTTCGGTGCAACCAACTGAGATATATAATCTTGCAGCTCAAAGCCACGTTATGGTTGGTATAAATATCATTGAGTGTCTCCGTAATAGCCCAATATCGATGTATTTTTCTTACCTAACTTATTTTATGATATATTGTTCAGGTTAGTTTTGAAGTAAGCGAGTATACAGCAGAAGTAGATGCCGTGGGTACAGTGAGATTATTAGACGCGATAAGAACGTGTGGTTTAGAAAAATCTTTAAAATTTTATCACGCATCGACTTCTGAACTTTATGGTAGGGCAGTAGAAGTACCACAGAACGAAAAAACTCCATTCTATCCACGTTCCCCATATGGTCAGTGCATTCATTATTCCGGAGAAGAGTTTTCTATTTTTTTTGACCTTATCATTTATTATACTTTTAGCATGCGCCAAATTGTATAGCTTCTGGATCGTAGTCAATTATAGGGAGGCTTACAATATGTTTGCTTGCAATGGTATATTATTCAATCACGAAAGTCCTAGAAGGGGGGAAAATTTTGTAACAAGAAAAGTTACAAGATCTATAGCAAAGATACATTTGGGGTTGCAAGATGTTCTTGAATTAGGAAATCTCGACGCTAAAAGAGACTGGGGTCACGCTAAGGATTACGTAGAAGTGAGTACTTTATTTTCTCTCGAGTACTCTAATAGATAGCTATTAATTTGATTGAAACACACGCGTTGCAGGCAATGTGGCTTATGCTTCAACAATCAACCCCAGACGATTATGTTATAGCCACGGGAGAAGCTCACAGCGTAAAAGAATTTGTAGAGGCTGCATTCCAGTACGTTGGACGTACTATTAAATGGGAAGGAGAAGGGGTTAACGAAACAGGGAAAGACGCGGACAGCGAAAAAGTATTAGTACGAATTAATCCGAAATATTTCCGACCTACGGAAGTTGTAAGAATCCAATAATAATGCTAATATGAATTCAGACAGATTCAATTAGCTTTATCTATATTCAATATCTTTCGTTTAGGATGTTCTCTTGGGTGATGCTACTAAAGCCAAAGAGAAATTTGGGTGGAAACCGACGATTACATTCGAGGTTTGTTTCCATTTACGATTGGTCTGTTTTATTTCGTTAGAAAAATTGCACTTGATCCATTTATTGTTTATTATGCTGTTGCAGGAATTAGTTAAAGATATGATGGACTTCGATCTAAATCTAATGAGAAAAAATCCAAATGCTTAGTGACATTTTACTTTAGCATAGATAATTACGGAAAGGTATGAAAAATGTCCTATATCTTTGCATATTGTGTTACGTATGCTATAGCATATATTTATTATAAATAATTAACACGCCAGTGTCACACATTACTGCATTTATATCTACAAAATAAGAATAGTCAAATTGTAAGGTAAGAAAGTTATAGGATTCTTTTTCAAGTATTATAAATTGTACAACAAACGCGGACTAGCATGAACGCGATCGATCGTTCATTTACAAAGTAGTTTTTATATAGAATTTACGCAATACAAGAAACACAGACATTCATTTGATAGCATTTGAAAAAATAACGCGTTCTCTTTTATCACATTTGGTATGAGTCAGTAAAGAGGCGCGAGTATGCTTGCGTGCGCGTGTGCAAGGAACCGATGACTGTTTATAAATTGATTTAAAAGAAACTAAGGCTTCTTGCGAGGCGTGTATATAAATATAAGATATTTTTTACTAAAGCTTAACATACAAGCTCTGCGCACAAACGGTAAGAGAAGCTGCGTATCACCGTTTTATTAACTGTCTTCCACCAAAGTAACGGCTTTCACGTCGTAGTTTCATTTGTACCTAATATATGTAATTACAATGTAATCTATATTGTATATTGTACGCTAGCTTTGTTATACATTTTAGTCCTCTGTATATAGAAGAAAAAAAACGAAAACAGCAACGCTATATGGAAGAAATGGAACACGTTCTTTTTCTCTCTTTCATTTTTTCTCTTTCTCTTTAATAAATAGATATAAGAGGATTTTGTGGTAATAAAAATTTAACTTTTAGCCTCGGGTGTTGCTTTCCTTAAAATATTATCGATCGTAAACATGGTCGATTTAACGCAACGTTCCGAACCACTCGCGTAATCCACTTCCTTCTCCTTCTCTACGTTGTTCTCTGTGTTCCGAATCTCAACGGTATCGCACCATCTTTCGATATTTCCTCGATCATCGTCTAAAAGTTGTAAAAGAGATCTTCGGGATTCCTCTTGACTCTGTAAAAAGGCTCGTTGTTTGCGAGTTCTCCTACGCCTGTAATTACCATGCTCGAACATTTCATTGGCGGATGGGTCGAGACACCAATAACTGCCTTTACCTGCTGTCCCCCCATGTTCTTCGTCTTCGTCGGGATTACTCTTGTCGCGTGGTATCTTGACGAAGCAATCGTTCAAACTGAGATTATGTCGAATACTATTTTGCCAACCCTGTCGATTTTCTCTGTAATAAGGGAACCTCTCCATGATGAACTTGTAGATACCGGATAGAGTAAGTCTTTGTTTCGGTGACGAATTAATAGCCATAGCTATTAAAGCTATGTATGAATAGGGTGGTTTCTCGTAACGAGGCGAGCTGGTGTTTACTTTGTAACCGATCAGAGGTAAAGTCCAACAGGAGAGATGGCGAGGACTGTTCATGTTCGTGCTGGTAGATGTTCGAGTAGTCTCCAATCTCAACATTTCCGGGACCCCGGGAAAATTGTAGTAATATTCGCTTGATAAAGTGCAGATCGTTGGTAAGATTTCTGTAGTCCAATTGGCAAAATTGTTGTTCCCCGACAATTCCAAATGGAATCTTGGATTTCTCGTTAATACAAAATTCCCATTTGATTCCATCATTGATCGTTTGATATCTCTTTATCTCTCTTTCTCTTTCTACATCGAAGGTAAAACGTTTAACGTGCCAGCACGTCGTTCGCGCGAGACTGGCTTTTCCGCGATCTCCGACTCGTTCAGCTGATTCTTCTAAGCTCTTTAGGGTCTTTAATTTGACAGGGAGAGATCTTAGAGGTTGGTCCAGCCCCGCCCATCGCAGCTTTTCAAGGAACGTTCTCGTTTGGTGTTCGCTGACGATGAGAAGGAGGTGGACGCTTTGGATCGGTCCAGGAGCCCCACGACTAACATGTTTTATTACTGTTTACACATATGCTCTTCTAACACCCACGCCGCCAGTTACCGAGCCAATATGTAAACGCAGTTGTGGTAATTATACCGAGAAGGCGTTCGCTTTCTTGGAAACTCTTCTTCTTCTTCTTCTTCTTCTCCCTTGCGTCGCAAACAGCAGGGGGACGTTGCTTTGAAAAAATTTTCCAACACGCCAACGACCTGTATTTTCTTTTGACTCCTTTTATTATGTACCCGATGCTTGTATGATATGAAAAGAATTACAAGAGACAAATCAAAGTGGATATGGATGGATATGGATGAAGGCTAACGTATTCAAACTATGTTCGGCATCTTCTCGAAAAACAGAAAGATAAACGAGGGAGAGCCTTGTCTCTTCCAAAAAACCGCGACGATTTACTGCTCTCCTTTAAGCCGACCGATTTTAGAATAATATCTCGAAGCACATCATAGGGAGTAATCGTTATTTACGTATTCGCGTTTCTCCCTTTCGTTTTTATTAGTACAAAATTAGTCGGATTAAATGAAATCAATAAGAACAATTACCCGATCGAGCTACGTTAAGTTCAAATCTTTGATTATTGATAAGATCTATGATGGCGGCGTCTGTCGTATTCTTGACTTTTGATTATTGTTTTTGCGACGTTTACGACTGCGAGAAAATTCACAGCGCATTCGATTTCTATCCTAGGGGGATCCTTTCTTACGATTTTCTATGCGCCCCGCGTCGTTATTTCAAATCCAATGTAAATGATTATTTAACAGGATTTCATTCTTCACATTAACAATCATTTTTGACTCGATTGTTAAGTCATTTTTAACATCTTCCCTAAGATTATACCATTTCCAATCACCTGTCTTGTTACTTCTCTCACGGTAATTGGAAAGTTAATAATGTAAAGACAGGTAGTCCGACTAACTTGAACCTTGACTTTAGCTTAGGTATATTTGCTAGACGTTTAAAGAAATGGCAAGGTAAATATATTTCTATAACCATGCGATAACTCTATCGGTTTTCTTTGTACAGGAAGCTGTGCTAAATGGCGGATTTAAAGATGTATATATGTATATATGTAAATGTCTACTTAATCTATTGATTTCCAGATTAATTTCCAGTTCTTGGAATTTCAGGAACTTGGACATTTCACAACTGATTATACCCAAAATGAAAGACTTAAATATTCGCTTCTGAAATGTTTTTTATTTGATTAAAACCTTGATGATTTGCTGAATTTCTTACAGCTAATAATATGATAAAATTATTAATTAATAATGATCTTATCGCGCCGGTATCTCTGTGACTTTTTTTTCTTTACACGAAGAAAGTTACATTTTTAATTGGAGAGTCAAGTATATATAGGTTCGAAAGTGAACAAGACATATGCACCAATTAATACGTTCATTCCATGCCTGGAGAAACCTTTCATGACATTCGACAATGTCAACGTTTTATTTAACGTCTATTGAATCTTACTTGTAAAGTATAAATGAGACGTTTCACGTGATTTTTCTCTTCACTTTATTCGTAGACATTTAAAAAAAGGTTTTTCGAAAGTAACGAGTAAACCATGTTCCAGGCTATGTAACTATGTCTAATCGGGATTAAATATGTTAATGCGCGTAATTCGCGTTATACAACAAACGATTACGAAGTTAAAAAGAAATGTGGCACGTTACACGGAGAAAATAAGAACTCATGTCACGAACATCATTTACAACATTTACTTCACTTCCTTCGTTCTAACAGTTCTTGCACAATTTAGATACCACTTAGAAAAAGGGGGCTACCATTTTTTAATATAATATGAAACGAAAAAATTATAACAGAAAAAAATGAATACCATTTATTTTAAGGATAATAATTAAATAAAAACATTTGTGTCCTGCCTCTTTCGCGAACACGTATCCATCTCCTATTATGAATCGTGGAGAGATTCTAAATGGCAAGACGATTATCGTTGGCACATCGGCACGTCGCAAGGAATACATAGACACTTGGGAGAAAGTGGAAGGTATAGGCGTCATCGTTTGAGTATTTGGCTGTTGTATGGACGATAAAAAAAAAAGAAAAGAGAAAAAAGTGTCGACAAGACGATACGAGAAACTCTCGCTGAGATACAACGTTATTCACTATTTTCTAGAAGCCTAGCTATGTATCTCACTATGGTACGTATAAATGTATATAGAAATATTTCCTTAAATACATACAAGAAAGGCTTTTAAACGTGGACCTTATCAATTATTGACCCCCATGGATTTTCATGTGGCAAATCAGCCTTTCTCTCTTTCTATTAATGGCATTTTCTCGAAGATTTATCATAATTTTGATTGAAATCAGAGCTATCGAAGAATTCAAAAGAATTTGCTTGTCATGTTAGGAAATGATTATTGCCTGATAATGAACTCGATGACGCACATTTTTTACAGCTGGGATGAGTGAGTCGTCGGCGGAGCTTGCGAAATTCTAAATGATGTACGATGCATCGTCATTAGCGAGATCAATTAGATATCGACGACGCGCTGACACGAGTAGATGCAATTAGGAAGATCGATCCTAGGTATGGACAGGATGCAACGATCGAGGTTGGCCGATAACGAATCGCTAAGAAAATGAGTACGACCTTTTTTCTTCTTCGATCGTTGTAATCCTTGAAAAAAAAAAAATGAAGAAATCTCAATAGGAGTTTGAACAAATCAAACAGAGATCCACTTATTTCTTACACAATACTTTTTCTAACGACTCTATTGGTTATACGATCGATAAAATTTTTCCTGCATTACTTGCTACGGTGGTAACTTTCGCGCGAGTTCACACGCTAATACTTACAAAATAAGTTTTTTTTTTCTTCTTTTACACGTACGTACGTATTCGTACAAGAAAGTATTTCTCCTCGCGTGAACGGAATGTTGAATTTGTGAAATTCTCATAACTTACTTGTATATGTGTGCTCTCTAAAAAAGGAATGTATTTTTTGAAAATAGATCTCGTTGTCGCTCAAAGGCCATATAACCATAACCATAGCCATAGCCAAATGAGATATTCCTTCGCGAGCAGATATTTTTAATCATTCTACGAAACTTGTCGTAGAGAAAAAATTTGGTAATTAGGACGAAAATACAAAATAAATGCTAACTCGATGTTGAAACGACTGTGGTATACGTGGCATGTAGTTTATACAAGGTATTTTTGGCGAATTTTAATAGTCTGTCAGTTTGTAGTAACAGACGAATGGCTTGAAACAGATCGCTTTAGCGTCGTACCGCAAATACGCCTTATGTTAGGAAATAAAAACATGATATTCATGGCATGCATGGCGGTGCGGCCAAAAACAAAACGACTAATTATTATCATCATCATCAAATATAATTTCTAATGTTCATATTTAAAATAAGCCGAGAGTGGATCTCCTAGATAATAAATGCTCGTACCTACATACCTTTCGATCGTTATTGCAAATTGACGAGTTTGCGTTTGTGTAACGCTACGAAATAATCAATCGATTGCACAATTTTCCACCAGCAGTTCGAGCAACCCGCATAAGTTAGGAATGACAGAGGAATTAAAAAAAAATAAGTAACAAAAAAATACCTTCCTGTTTCCTAGTTTTAGACAAGCTGAAACTCAAACAGCTTTTTTATTGAACCAATAATTATAATATTTTTGGTAATTTGTTGTTTATTCGGAGAGTTCATTGACAGGAAGATCTACGTATATAATAGATACGTGGAGAGTTATTCGCTGTTGCAAATGACCAGCTGATTATTGCTATGTAAACACGGAAAGAAAGTGAACGTTTCGTGACGATGACCGTTCTAGAGATCTTCGTTGCTTGAGTGTCCGTCATTAAATATAGATTATTAATCAAAGTTAGGACGCGTGGCCGGGTGGTTTAATTCAATCCTTGTACTTTCATCAAAGTTCTAAGTTGATTAAGTGTTACAACTATAAGAAATAATTATTTGTTCACAAAATATATATAGATGAAAATTCGATATTATCTTAGTTGGTAGAAGGATTTACGAAAATTGGAAATATTAAAAAGAACTTCCCTTAAGGAAATTGTTCTATCGGGAATATTACGATGTGTACATTTTTGAAAGCAACCTATAAAAAAAGTGAAATCCACAATGTTCTATTGCGGCCTGTCGGTTTTGCGTCTAATTCGTAGGAACATCGGGCCAGAGTATTGTATTTCCTGGCAATAAAACTTGAAGATTTCAAAGTTGAAGTATCGTCATTCGAAAAAAAGAGAATTACCAAACGAGGATTATGTTGGACAATTCGAAGTGACCAAGTGCTTTCGAGAAAACCGGTAGGATTCTCTTCGTAAGTGGAAAGTTAATCGCACTAAACCAGACAAAAACGAGTCTATAAATCTTCCATAGAAACGTCAAAAGAGGACGAATTTGTAGAAAATCAAGAATAAAATATATAGAATAAAAGAAAAGAGATTAGCATCGAAAACATTGATGCACAGAAAAGAAGATGTTCGATGAAAATGTAATTTCTCTCTCTTTCTCTCATATATTATAGAAAAGGAAACCAGTGAAAGGAAGAGCATGATCTTCCCATAACCTCGGATCGAAAGAAAGTCAAAGATGCAACTGGCTAAATCACGTTTAAGCGTATTAATGGATGTTAAACGTTTTCCTACAGGAAGTTTACTTCTCTTACAACTAGGAAGAATATCTTCCATCATTCCGTTAAAGGTCAAAGCACCAAACTATTTTGGAATTTTACTTTAGATAAAAAAGAAAAAGGAAATTAGTTTTCACGCCTTGTTTCATGAATATTTTGTATAGACTAACGGTAATCTGTAGGCAACTCGTACGTGGTCTAATCTAATCTTCGTAGTTAATTGCGCAAGTTGAAGGCAATTCGATCGTTGTGCAAGGAACCCGTTTCAAATCTTCCTGCTTCGGAGCAACGTTTTTTTTATAAAAGATCTTGAACTTAACCGTAGCCTATTCGAGCATAAGCGCCTATGTATTCTCGCGATAGTGAAAGCGCGATCTTTCAAATAGTTGTTTTTCTTATGGGATGGGATAGAATTTTTGTCGATAGACGTACACGTTAACTTCCTGTCTTGTTGTTACTTCTTCCTTTTTTACATACCTAACTATTTGATCGTATCTTATTGGTATTTCCCTTTCTACGGAAGGATAGAGATACAATTTTCTATCTCGTTGCATTCAGATATAAAATAGATTTGGAGACAAGAATACTAAAGTAGGAGAGGTCGTCTCCTTCGCCTTGTCTTTTTTCTCGTCTAGGAGGTGGGCAACGAGGACGTCTCCTCGTTGGATCCCCTCCAAAAGAGAACTCAGGATGTTGTAGCTTGGGAGTCCCGTATAACTGAACACTCTTCCTCTATTTGATGCCCCTCCTCCACCTATTCGTCCACTTCTCTATGTATGTCTCTATGCCTAGGGCATCTAGAGGAGTCTAACCGGAGAAACGCATTTACTATAAAAGCTTCGCATGTTAGGAGTAATTCGTCAGAAGAGTGACGAACCGTAACAAAAACAAAGCAGCACCCAATACTCGGTGCTCCTTTTTGTTTGATCGTCGGGAACGAGAGGACTCCAGGAAATCGAGGATGCGGCTGCACGCACTGGTCAGTCTTCTTCTATCTCCAATTTTAACGATCTTACGTTAGGTGTGATTAACAAGTGCGCGAGGACAGT